AACCCCAGGTCTTTGGTAGGGGTTCGTGCTCAAAGCTGGTTTAGTCGATTTTTAGACCCAAACCCCGGGTCTGGGCTTTACACAACAATCAATTAACACTAGACACGTGAAAATGGAAAACAGTCTTCTTCTAACTGACTTGGCTAAAATATAATTTTGATAGTTAAAAATTTATCATTTACAACATTTGGGAATATTAGCTTAGCTTCCAATTGTTGTTTAATCAAATAAACAACAAAATTTTTATTCTCTTTTTACCTTTCGTCGATGAGTTATTGCGATAATATCCTTATATAAATGAATATCCCTGTTAAAGACTTCTCCCATGGGGGAGGAGGGTGGCTATGGTATCTTATAGGTATTTATTGGTATAACCATTTGAATAAATAATTTTGATATGAAGTAGGTACCTCTGAAGAAGGTATCGTTATTTAAATGACTAATTTTGATTTAGTAGGGTGGGGGTAAATAAAATTAGAGGGAAGTAAGGAGCAAAATTTAAAAAAGGGTAATATTGGCATTGTCTTGTAAGGGAGAAGGGTGTAGAAGTTCCTGGGTGGTATAAAATGTTATGTTACCTTATCAACCCGGGAAAATCAAAGTATAAGTGTTTAATGTGTTAGTGAAAATAAAAAATGAGTTAAGATGATTCTTAAACATAATTTATAAATAAAATGAAGGTAAAAGTTGTATAATCATTAAAAGAAGGGTGTCGAACCGCATTGGGAAACCGAAATAAACCATTATAATTTTCCAAACAGTAACAGAACTGTATTTTTTTAAAAAAAATTCAACAAATGAATGCGGCTATGTTACATATCATTTAAATTTTACAATAAAATAAAATAATTATATAATTTTTTTCAATTTATTTTATTGTTTTAAAAATATTTTTATTTCATTTCTATTTCTACATTTTCATAATATTTTTGTTTCATTTCTATTTCTAAGTTTTTATAACATTTTTTTTATCATATTATTATTGATCATTTAGTAAAATAAATTGGCATCACGTCAATTCGGTGCAGCGTCAATTCAGCGCGACGACAATTCGGCCAACGACAATTCAACGCGTATCTTATACAGCTGCAATTTATTAGTATAAAAAAAAGGATGATTAAATAGAAGTCATTTTGAATGTTAGTCCGATTAATTATTTCTTTGTATTTTTTTTACAAAAATCTCAATTTTATTTATATGTATAATATCAATAAAAAATCAAAAAAAATTAACAACCAATATTTATGCCGATTTCTTTGGTGGACAATTTATCACATTATAGGGTATACATATTATTTTGGCTAAGTTTTTAAAAATGACTTAAATCGGTCGTTTAACATTTGAATTTAAATGAGAGGTCTACTTTTATCTGAGATTTTTCTAATTCATCTAGAATCAAATATTTATATAGAATAATCTCCTTATAAATTTTTAAAAGGGCTAAGCCAAAGATTTTTCACCGGTAGTATTTTTTAATAGGTTTTTAATCTTTTAAAAGTTGAAAAAGAGCCTTCATTAGTGCAGGTTCTAATTGGTAATGTAACTAAAATAATTAATCATGTTTTGATATTGGGAACCTAAAATGCAATTGCACATGGAAAGGGTCTGCAGAGTTTTTGGTCTCAAAGAATACTCTATCCTGCGAAAATCAGATATCACAAAGTAACATATCATATGAGCCTACTATATTGAGATTTTCCAAATATCCTCTCGTGATTCAAGCGTAATCAACAGTTTAGACTCAACCGGCAAAAGAAAAAAAATGCTTCTAAAAATAAAAAAATGACTAATAAATCTTTCCTATAATTTAAATAAAAATGTATCAATAAGATGAATAAAAATGTTTATTTTATAAAAATCCTCAATCGTAGATGCATCAATATTTGAGCAATTGGAATGTCTAGAAACTACTCTATGTTTAAAAATTTCAATCACAAAAATATTAGCAATCTCCTTTACTTTCTCATAATTCTTGAAATTCTTATCCACATTCTATCTAATATTTGTTAATATTTCAACAATATCCTTTGCTCTATTCATAACCTCCCTTAAATCCCAATCAATTTTTTGTAGCATTTTGCTAAATCATATGTATAATTAAATAAAAAATAAACACAATGAGTAGATATTAAAAATTGTGGCGTAATTAGCCTTCAAAAGATTTTCAGCATCTGCTGATTTTTTTTCCTTGCTTGATATATATAATTCCAGTGCTGCAAATACAACATCATATAGTTCAATAAAGAGTTTCACCGACTTTTGTTTTCAATGAATCTAGTCGGACAAAATCTTTTTAGTTTCTTTTTTTGATTTTTTAAGTCAAGGTCATGATAAGCCACTTATATTTTTTATCTATGATAATTGAAATGTCAAATTTCTCATATTTAATGACACTGGAAATTTATAATTTTATTTTCGATTAGTATATTTATAATTTCAATACCTATAATATAAATAAATAAAAAAATTGCGCATTAATTCGTCAGCCCGATTTGGGCTTATTTTTAAAAACGGTCAATTATGATTTTAGCCAAAATAATATGTAAGATTAGAGAAAGAGGTCCAAACCTTTCTTTTTCTTTCATTCTTCTATGCGCGAATTCTTTAGGGTTACATAATATTGACTACTAATCAACATACCTTATAATATGGTAAATTGGTCCACCAAAGAAATCGGCATAAATATTGGTTAATTTTTTTTGATATTACTAAATTTTTTATTGATATTACACATATAGTAATTAAATTGAGATTTTTGTAAAAAAATACAAAGAAATAATTAATCGGACTAACATTAAAAATGACTTCTTTAATCATCCTTTTTTTATACTAATAAATTTATAATAAATTGCAGCTGTATTAGATACGCGCTGATTGTCGTTGCTCCGAATTGTCGCCGCGCCGAATTGACGTGGAACCAAATAAATTATGAATAATTTAAAAAAATTTAAATATGTAAAAAGCGTAATAAACAGATAGAATTGAATATCAAACTGAAATGAATCGATATAAATTTTCTCAGAATAACCGAATTGGAACTAGAACAATCTTTCAATTAAGAATTGTAATAAAACTAACCCGTTATCCTTATCAGTTTGATATAGTATTGTTAAAAGGCTCGATTTTAAAAACGGCTTATTTAAAATTTTAGCCACAAAATTATTGCCTAAGTTTTAAAATTTCGCTAATAGACGTCCAAACTTCTGTACCATCTATGGGAAAAATCTTTAGGCTTATGTAATAAATTTCTGGATAAAATATTGAGTTAGCCGTTTTTAAAAATCGGCTCAAAACGAGCCGTTTAACAACACTAAGTCGATACCCATAGTAAAATTGAAAATCGCAACATTTTCATTTCATACTTCGATACCTTAAAAGCGTTATTGTATGTGAGATGTGTATTGATATTTATTTAACGTCACTTCTTTCATTGCTCTCAGCAACTAGACTAAATACATCAATTCGTAAAGAAAGACTATGAATATCCACTAGTATGCCTCACTCGTAAGAGAAAGGGATAATATGATTTGCACAAAATAACAATGATACTTTTCTTTTTGATAATGTAATATTTTAAAATAGGTTTATAAATAGTTTAAAAAATAAAATTTTTAAATATAATTTTTAAATATAATATTTTTGGCAGAAGATTTTCAACTATTTAAATAATTCGAGTTCAATCAAAACTTTACTTTAAACAATAAACCTCAAGTCAAATTATTAGTACTTTATACATTTATATTTTGGTTGAATAAATAACTAAGAAATATAGAATTCATTTTAATTATATATATTTTTTTAAACAGATTCTAAATTGGCCCCATGTTTCTAGATTAAGCCTTCTTCCAAATACCGCTAATCACGAAGGGATATATTTATGTTTGATACATCATATTAATGGTAGAGTAAATATACCACATGCTTTCGGTGTTAGTTATAGGAACGCTTCTCTAAGAGATAAGGTTCTCGCGTCACAAATAACAAATTCTGAATATGGAATCATAATATTATTAGTTGTGATAGTTATGATGGTACTCTTATTGCTAGCGATAACAGCTTTAATCAAAAATCCAAAAAAGTAATAAATTATAATTAATATGTTATGTTAAATAAATATGTAAGATATCCCTTTTTATGGAGCATTCATTATGCAATTTATGGGTGGTGGAAAAATCCTGAAGAAAAAGAACATTTTAAACATTTACTTTTATTATACCCATATTTAAAAAGAATTCTTACCAATTCCACTGATAACAATATTATATCAACGCCTTTAAATTATAATCGTAAGAAAGAACCATTTTTAAGGATAGTGAAAGAAGCATCCCAGTTAGAAAAACAAGAAAAGGATAAAATAATTGAACTACCAAACTTTTCGGACTATGAAGATAGTGTTAATATTAAGACACCTATTTTATCTATAGATAGATCAGATTTGATTATACTGGAAGATGAGAGTATTTCTAAGTCTGAAATGGCAACTGCAGCTGAATTCTCTATAAAAAAAATTGACACTCAAAAGGTATTTTACAAATTTTTAAAACTAATTATATTATATTTTAATGCTAGTATGATATGCTGAATATATCGCCTATTAGATCAAATGCAATGACACGTCCTGAATTAAAAATATTTAATAGAGCTAGGAGAAGCCCCAAATTGAGACCTAGTCTTATTAAAAAAAGAGGAAACTCACAATATATACAAAATGATAATTTAATTATTTTAGATGAAGATATGCCTCTCACAACTTTTCAAGGCATGAATATTGATTTAAAGAATGACTTTAGATTATTGGATAGTATATTTAAAGTTAAGCCAATAGTAAATAAATTTAGTTTAATTGAACAAGCAAAAGCAAAAGAGTTTTTAAGGGAGCAACGCCATCATAAAAAAAACAATGAAAATCTTATGATTGATAAATAAAATTTTATTATATTTTACTTAATAAATAGTTTATAATGAATATAATAATACAAAATTATAATAAAATGAACTATCAAATATATTTCATATATTATTTAAATTATCATGACCAAACAGTTATTCTTTTTTTGTAATCGCATGTTATAAAAAAATTTCCAAATAAGCTCCATTTAGTGCACATTGTTGGGGCGTTTGTGCTAAAAAACAAGATATTATAAATTAATTATGCATAAAATAACATTTAAAATTTATAAATTACAATCAGGCCCGTACCGTTGCCGAAATTTGATGATTTTAAGGGCCACCAAATTTTGTTACTTGTTTGATTTTCTGAAAAAATGCAATTAATATTTTTAAAGAAATTAACCTTAACGACTAAAATAGTCAAAAATAAAATGATCATATTCTATAAAACCCCAAATTAAAGATCTAGTTGAAATATAATTAATTTTGTAAGGCCATATGTAAATTAAGGGTAAAAATATAATGATTTATAAAAATTAGATAGACCTATATTTTATTAATTTTTAAATCTGAATTTTGAAATAGATAATAGAATGTTTACACATAGTTTTCATTTAATACATAATCTTTATGGGTGTTTATACTTTAAATTGATCTTATCTAAATTGAGTTATTTTAATAGATTTGACCATTAGATGTGTAATTTAATATATATTATATACTAGTTTCAGAGCAAAAAATGATAAACTAGATTAATAAAAATACTGTTTTAGTGAACTGAATTGTTAGAAAGTACCATGATCTTTTATTTCATAGGCCATTAAAATGAAGAACAGGGAAATAAATTTAATATAGGTGCTGAGAAACGAAAAAGAAAGAAGCTGAATTTATTAATTTTCAAAAAGGGACTCTATTAAAACACTTAAAATAAAGGAAGGTACATCATGCGCCACATCTGAAATTGCAGAAATAATCGATATCGATAATGAACACATCGATATAATTAAATTTTTTAACGTATTACTCGATCAAGCGAAGATTTCTTTGAAAGAACGTTTAAACAGTTACCTTTCAAGGATGACTTTGGGTTTTTATTCGATATACCAATATTGGTAAATTCGACTGAAATGGAGCTAAAATATATTTATAGGTTAAATATTTTATTAACGGGTGAGGATTCGTTGGAAAACGATATTAATTTGTCTGATATATTACCTGAATTAAAATTTTAATAAATATATTGTGTAAGAGAACATAAATGTCCTCTAGAAATCTTGGGCTATATTTACACTAATAGGAATCCCTGCCAAATATATCTATTGTTTTGAGGGTTATTTTAATCATTCCAAATGTCGTGGTATAGATTGAAAGCAGATTCTGAAAGTTAAAACTAATCAAGACTTACTTAAGATCCTGCATGTAGTAAGAAAAATATCCCTATTTTAAATCGAAAATGGCATTGCATCGTTGTTAGATTGTACTGACTTAATATCCTCTTTAGCAAATATAATGATGAGGATAAATGTTTAAACATCTATTTTTTAATGATTATATAAAGCTGTGATTATATACATGGTCATGCAATATTAATTTTTAATATTCGTTACTCATAATAAATTTTACCATATTACATGCATAGTTTTTATTTTCAGACAGGCTTGTTAATCGATCTTTTTAAAAAGATCGAATCCCGATCACGATATTTTCAAAAATGAGGATCGAAATTCAGGATCGATCTTTTTTTTAAAAGGATCGCGATCACGATCCTTTTCTTATTTAAATTTCTAAATGAAATTTCTGATCAATGCAAAATTAACTAATATAAATATAAATTAAATATGGTATAAATTTATTGTAATTGAATAATATAATATAATTAGAATATATTTATTTATAATTAAAATTAGCCTTTAATTATAAAATTTTTTCCAAGTTATTATCATTAAACATCCACGTCTTTCAAATGTTTAGCTTTGCTAAATAAGCGCTCCACAGGAGCGCTTAATGGCAAAGGTGTGTTATATTCAATAAATATATTTTTTAAATTAACATAAGTATTATAATATTCATTGAATAATCATTTGAATAAAATATAAATATTAATGGGACGAGCATTTTGTGAAGAATTTTTTACAAAAAATAATCTATTTCATCCTTACATTCATTTGAAGCATCTGCATGTGGTTGATCCTGCATATTTCCAAATAGGCATTTAACCTTTCTTTTACCAATAGATTTTGTGGCAGATTAATATAAGGCCAATTTAGCTTAAATTTTGGGTGAATTATTGCTGCCAATATGTTACTGCCATCATACAATGAAGGAAATAATTAATTTATTATTAAATAAGTGTTCATTGATATAAATCAGGTATCTGCAAAATTTAGCCCTTATTAACACATCAATAGATATTTAATTAATTATTGTAAATAATTCTTATATGCATTTTGTTATGATCTTCACAAATAAATAATATTAGCTCTATTTTTAAAAGAATTATTTCTAAATTCCTTTTGAGGTTTACTAATCTTTGAAGAAGATATTTTGTTCTTACATAAAGAGAATTACTTCCAACCATTTCATATAAAGTAAAATACTTACACAAATTATGAAATGGTAAAAGATTCTCATTCACTTATATCTGATGTCACATCAATAATAGATGTATTATCTTCTAAATCTATAATGTAAGAAATTATTAAAACCTAGAATTTATTTATATTATATATATAATATAAAATAAATAAAACTTGTAGGCTCTAAATCTCGTTCTAGATAAAATATAGGAAATTGTTGAAATATAAATATGGTGGAATGAAAGTGGATAAAATGTGATAAAAAAAATATAATTTAATTTTCAAAATTTTTATTTTATTTATTGCTTTTTATAAGTAAAAATTAATTTTTAAAAGGAACGGGATGGAAAATTTAAAAAAATGATCTCGATCCCGATCAATTTAAGTTAGGATCAAAAATCCGGGAAAATTGACAAATTTAGGATCGAATCCAGGATCGGCGATCTTTTGATTCGATCCTTTAACAACTCTGTTTTCAGATTAGAAAAAATTTTCAAATAAGCTTAGATAAATTGGGTCGCCAAATTGGTCTACCCATGGACGTCAAAAGTCTCGGCACGGCGCTGATTATAATAAAAATATATCTTAGGATAATATTCAAAATTTATAATTTAAAAGTATAGATTTAAAAATAATTCCGAACCAACTGTTACTACTTGTTATCAGAATTGATTTTAAAGTGATTTCCATTGTAACAGTGCCAGATGTAAATTGATCCATCAAAATTTCCACAACTGACCATAGTATTGTCTGAACTAAAGCAGGAGCGGGTCCAATCAAAAGAAATGTGAAATCCATCCGCTTTCAAATTGCTATGTTAAAAATTAAGTGCAATTAACTTTTTCTTAAATATAACAGAGTCCTGCAAAATAAGATCTAGAAGAGGTTTGTAAAATTATTTTTTCTCAGCCCGATAATAAAATTCACAATAATTTTTTTTCTTCATAATCGAGGAGAAAAATTTTCAATTTCATTAAACTATTTTGAAAAATAAAAATAATGAGGATCCTCTATTACGAAAATGATTTATTTTATATATGCAAAAATTGATACTAATACTTGCGACAAAAATTTCTCGATGAAATTATCCTGATGAATAACATATATAAAATAAAAAAACAAAATCCTCTACGAGCAATAAAATCGTGATTATGATAATATTGAATACCTTGATTTTGTCATCATTTATTTCGAAATATAAATTGTCTAGATAATATCCATTCCAAATATAACATATAAAAATAAATTGGGAGATATTCTGCCTTAAAAGCGAGCCTAGGCCCATAAAAGAGTGGGAGGGCATATGGATAATTTTTTAAATCATAGCAACAAATTATAATAGTAACTGTCTAAACTCTATTTAATATGAGAAATATCCGTGGTAGATGGAATTGCAATATTTCACTGAGGATATCTACAACATTACAATAGCCCGGGTTTGAGAGCTCTGCAGGACTCTGACAAATAAATAAGAAATTATAATATTACGTTATGGATCTATTTTCATCATTGTCAAAATTCGATCCAAATTTGCTTTCAAAATTATTGAATCGTATGTCAAAAATCTTTAGGATGTCATCTCTACAACTAACTAGTATATTTGTTTGATCTGAAAATTAATATATTTACTAAACATTGAAAAATTTATAAGTGATTATAATTATTTCATGTAAAATCCTATAAAGTGATCAACATAAACTACAAGTTATATGATTATACTTGAATTAGTTATTTATCTTATAGTACTTTATAAAGATAAAGCTAATTAAAAGTAAGCACAACCTAGTCAATTAAGATTTTTTAAAAGGTTTATCTTCCTAGCCTGCAAACTAATCCATTCCAAGTTCATTATTTTTGACATTATTGATTCCACAAATTTAAAAATTGGTTATTCCTTTAATGGAATTCCCATTTTTATTCAATATCTCCTTTTTGAAATATCAAAAATTGTTTTGAAAGATTTTAATCTTATGACAATAGTTTATTTCCATATCTACGATCAAAAAAGGTATTTGACATGATTTATTTAAATTTTTCCCGTTTAATTTATTTTTTATTTCATATTTAATCTTTTTCCACAATTTATTTTATTATTTTAAATCCAATTTCCTCGCCCTCTCTGTTTTCGAAAGGTTTGATGGAAATTAATTTCAATATGTGTAAAATACCCACCATTTTTTGAAAGTTAGCATGTAAAAAAAACATACCATTATTCAAATCCACCGAGGTGATTTTATCAGCTAAAGATATTTCAAACACGGGAGTACTATTGCTAATAGATGATGTATTAATCCTCACATCCCAAATTCGAACTTTCTTATCTATGTGACCACTAATAATGCAATTCCCTCCTTTTTCTACAACTACTAAATCGTTACAACTTGATCCTGCAAATAAAGTTTTGATGCCTTGTTTTTATAAAGTTAATAATAGCAAAAATAAGCATATTTCAATCAGAGATCCTAACCGAAACGAATATCGGTTCGGATAAAAATAATGGTTCAAGGTTCAGGTTCTGTTCGTAAAAAATAAAATTATCGATTCGGTTCAAACAAACGTTTAAAAACCGCTTTGAACACTTTTATATTCAAATCTACATTCGAATTATGTATATACAAGAATATTTTTTTTAATTTCATAATTAAAATAAAAAATAATAAAACCTTCATTTTTATTAATTTCACATAAAATAATATATAATTTAAAAATATAACAAATAAATATCAATGATTAATTTTAATATGAACATTTACTTAAATTTTTTTTATTTTTCAAAATTCGTCTCACAAATTACATTATAAGTAGATAATATAAATTTAATTGTTGAAAAACATCTTTCCACAATAACTTGGGTAGCCGGCACTGCCAGTATGATATCAGATTTGATGTGTCATTTAAAGATCTGCAAAAGTAGGCCCGGCCCGAAAAAAATCGGGTTCGGTCTGGGTCAGGCCTAATATTTTAAGAAAATTCGGGCAGGGTCGAGTCGGGCCTTAGAAATTTGTTAAAATATTTTTAATTATCTTTATGTTGAATTTTTTATGTAAAATAAAAATATTTAATTTTATTTATAGAAACTAGACGACATATAAGATATATCGTTTATTTTGAGTAATTATAAAAATTAATTTCTATATTTAAATAAATTCGGGCCGGGCCGGTAAATTTTTTCAAAAAAAATCGGGGACAGGCAAAACTTTTTAAAAAAAATTTCGGGCCGGGACGGGCTGGAAAAATTAGGAGTGCCATTTATACTATATATGTAAATAATTTATATATTGGATTTAATTTTTCTCTAGGCATTATAATTTATAAGCTTAAAATATTTTGAAAAAATTGTAAAATAGCAATATACTAAAGTTTATAAAAATTAAGACTGACACTTATCAATCAAATGTGATTGATAATAATTTTTAAAACAATTCGAATATAATTAAAAATTTTACAATATACTTGTAATAACTTATTACTCTAACCGGTTCAGAGGCATTTTAGCGGTTCGGTTTAGGTTCGGCTAGAAATTTTTTAGCGGTATATGTTCGATAAAAAATACCGGTTTTTAGCTGTTTAATGATTTAGTTCAGGTTCGGTTTGGATCCCTAATTTCAAACATAGATTAAGCTGACTAAATTTAATTACAAAAAAGTTATAAAATTATAATATTATCCACTTGGATTATTCTCGCTGTCACGATTTATTAATTGCATAATAAAAAAAACTTTATTATAAATTTAGAAATCTTTCTTTCTTTGACATTTATTAGTCCAAAATTGTGAATTGTAATCAGCACTCTTTCGATTGAAGAATTTATACATTGGATCGGGTAAATTTATTATATATTTAAAAAAAAAATTAAACTTTGAAGTTCGGCCCGGAATTTTTTGAGCCGATAGGGATTTATTTTTCAATATTTCACCTCTGAATTTTTAATTATTGTTACTTTTAATAATTTTGACTGTATTTTGTTAAATTATTTCAGGGAAATTAAAAATATGAGCAGAAAATGAATATTAAACCCTCAGTTATATGATTTTTCAACTGATTAATTGATATAATTTAAATTTGTTCATTGAATTCTAAAATAAAAACTAAATACCAGTTCGCTTCACTAAAATCTTTCTCTCTATATGTTTCACAAAGAATAAGATTAGTTGGTAGAGCGCATTAAAGTGAACAGTAACGTTTAGATTAGCATTATTTTTTTCTGACGAGATTAGTGCATTTGCTACTTTGGGTTAATTATTTTTTTGATCATATTAAAGTGTAATTGTTCTCGCCGCTTCTACTTATATTATTTTACCCTTCCACTTTCTTACATACCCCCCCCCCTCCCCTATCCTCCTTAGTATAATATATTTTTCCCGTTAATTCAAAAGTAAATTTAAGCCCGCGTCATATTATATTTATCCCTTAGGTTTATTACGAAATACTAGCAAAGTTATGAAATCTTTGTTTTAGGTGATTTAAATACCCTGATTTTCCGCCAAAAATATAACATAAATAGAATCAACTATTTCTCCTATCTGTATCCAAAATATAGAGGCTTGAAATATTTATTGATTGAGTAATGTTTCTTTGACACTAATATAAACGCTATTGTTCACTCAGAGGCACTATGCCAACGAGTCGTACTCTCTGCGATACTGATTAAAGTGGAAATCTCAAAAATTCCTGAATCCATAAAAAGAGCCGATAAAATCGTTATCATGTAATAATTGTTAAAACCAGGGATTCAAACCGAAACAAATATAGGTTCGGTTCAGGTTCGGATAAAAATAACGGTTCAAGGTTCAGATTCGGTTCGTAAAAAATAAATATATCGGTTCGGTTCGAACTTCTAAAAACCGGTTTGAACATTTTTGTATTCAAATCTACATTCGAATTATGTATAGGGAGGGGGGTATATTTTTTTATTTTATCATTAAAATAAAAAACAAAATAAAAAACATACAAACCTTCATTTTTATTAATTGCAGATATAAAATAATATTTAAATTATAAATCATAAAAATAAATATCAATGATTAATTTTAATATGAACAATATTTAACTTTATTTACTTAAATTTTTTTTATTAGGAGGCACAATTAATATATTTTCATGATTTGTCTCACTCAAATTAAATCTATAAAGAGATAGCATAAATTTAATTGTTGAAAAAAACATCTTTCCACACTCACTTGGGTAGCTGACACTGTCAGTATGATATCAAACAATTTACATAATTCTGGGAATCGATTACTCTGATTTCGTTTAAAATATTCAGTTTTATTTAACCTAGGTTCTTTAGAATAATTAACTATAATATTTATTTCTTTGATTAAATTTTACCAAATACTTAAAACTTATTCTGCAACATTAGATTAAATATTTTGAGAATCTTAATTTTACCCACGGCTTCTATGGATCAAGAATTTTTTTAAAACCGCTATCATCGATTAATTTGAATGGTCTGCCATTAAAAGTGACCAACTCATTACAATCTTCGATTATTATTTTTTTATTTAGTTTTATTGATATTGTTTGTTCCTTTAATGCTTCTTCTATCGTCTGTTGACTTGATGATATCTTAAACTTTTTTATTTTATTAGGCTTTTGTTGTGATATTTTGTTAATTTTATCAAATTCTAGATGGTGGTTTTTTTTGTGACGCTAAAGAATTATGATGGCCTTTCATATTTATTTAACAATCAGTAATATTACATTTTGATGTGTCATTTATAATACTATATATAAATAATTTATATATTGGATTTATTTTCTCTAGGCATTATAATTTATAATCTTAAAATATTTAAAAAATACTATAAAATGGAGTTTATAAAAATTATGACTGACACTTAACAATCAAATGTGATTGATAATAATCTTTAAAACAATTCGAATATAATTAAAATTTTTGCAATATACTAGTAATAACTTACACATTATTTTATAGGCATAAAATCATGAGGCTCGAACCGGTTCAGAGACATTTTAGCGGTTCGGTTCAGGTTCGGCTAGAAATTATTTTAGCGGTTTAAGTTCGATAAAAAATATCAATTTTAGCAGCTTAACGTTTCGGCTCAGGTTAGGTTTGGATCCCTGGTTAAAACTCTCACACCTAAGAATTCCAAATAAAAAATCGTAGCGAATCCATTTTGATTTTTTATAAATTTTCGCCCTTATTGCAACTTTTTGGTGCGCATATATGAAGGTGTAAAACCATTCACAAATTCATTTATAAATTACACCTGACTATCTTCCAATAAAATATCAGAATATTAAATGCCTAATTTTCGTCTAAATTCACAAGCATGTCATAAGTCGAATTCCAAATAGAAACGAGGTCGAGTTGAGGTTTTTTGTTGGTAATTACAAGATTTTATTTAGTAATTTATTTAAAATAATTATACAAATTTTATCTCATTAAACGTACAATTAAGTACCGTTATAAGTAGTGTATTTAATTAGTAGAGTACGTCCGACCTCTCCCGACCATGATTAAAAGTCGTGGTCGAGTAACCCAACCAAAAAGTCGAATGACCAAAATAGTCGATTAACGCTAATATATTTATTTTTGGTAGAATATATTTATTTTTAAGAAACTAGGCACAATATATGTTTTATTTTGATTTTTTAAAAAATTTATTTTTATACCCACAAAGGAATAAAAAATCAAAATTTTTTTTTTCAGAATTTGTCATATTAATAATAACCAAAACGGGTCATATAAAAGAATGCCACAATTAAATAGTCAACTAAATTGGTCGACAATTAGTTGACTAATATGGATAATTGGATTAAAAGTCAATTTTTCGACTTAGACTTGAGTAGAGTTTTAGTCGACTAAAATTAGTCATTTAACAACACTAGATGTAAGAATTACACACGCTCTTTGTGTAATATCTTCCTTTATGTTCATTTCTTTTTATTATTGGAAAGTAATAAAGCATCCGATTCGAAAATGGATTGTTGAATATATAGAAAATTTGCTGTTTAATTATGACTTTTTAGATTACCAATTATATATTTGCGTTAAAAATTTTCTTTATAATTTTAATTATTAACTAAATCTGTTATGTATTTAAGATAATTAACCTTATATTTTTATCTGATATTTAAGAAAGATTTTATTTAAAATAATAAATAGTTTTTTTTTAATTACAAATTCAAGTCGAGATTTTAAAAAAAATAATAATATTTTCCTACTTACAATTAAGGTAAATATCAAAATGGCAGCCACTGAAATCATTAAGAGTCAAATTTAATTTACATAGATTAATAATATGTTGTTAAGGAGCGGCTCCTGTAGCGCCGCTACATTTTTACAAAAAACCTGGTTAAAAATCAGGAGCGGGAGCTAGCTCCTATGCTCTGTTAAATTTAATGTATAAATTAAATTATTTTTTAAATATTAATTAATCTA